ACAGAGCTTAAACGAGGAGTGCCTCTTTGAGTAGCCAGTGGATCTCACATAAAAGAAGGAATGGTAAAGTTTGGTGCAATTAGATGCAATTTGCAGTCAGCCACTCAAAAGAATGCTGTTTTTATTTCATAGCCCATTCATGTAACTTCAGACAAAGCATTTCTCTGTGTATTTTTGGACTGTGCTGTCACATGACTTCTACATAACCCGGCACGGAAATCCATTTGTAACCCCAAAGCAGGTGATGACTTTGGAAAAAGATAATCCCATTTTGAGTTAAATCAAGCAGTCTTTTGTCTCTGTTCTCTGAGCACATCACTTGACCCCTACATCCGCTTGCATACACCCAGCTCCCTACAGGCACATCTGAGGACGTTTGTTTTCCTGTTTTCTCTTCTCTACACTCCTTTCCTGAAAAAGCTGTTAATGCAGTCATCTTCATGATTTAAAGTCATGTCTCTGCGCCACACTAGATGGCTCAGAGTATACAAAGGCAGACAAAGATTCATTTATCTCGCAACAGACAAAATTGACACATTCTGAACAAAATGTCTTTGAGTAGCACGGAGCAGGTCTCAATGATTTCTTAGAAAAGAACAAATAAAAACTGTGAGCTAAACTAGGGTTTTCTGGGGACCAAAACCAAGTTGCAACCTCCGAGGCTGAGAAATGAAGCCGTTGTGGAAATGTTAAAACCTTTGCTACGGTGGAAGATTAGTGGATTTTGCCAGCCCAGGTGTCAGCACTCAGTCATTTACTGGTGCCATCACATTTTTTCACATTTACATACGTGTTTCTCTTTCATATGCAATAAAACTCAGGATGTCTCTAGTCACAAAAACCAGTGAACTGCCAGCTACCTTGCAGGCCTATAGCAAATTATGCACTTGCAAGAGCATGAGTCGGAAGGGAAAAATATACTACTGCCACTCTAAATAGTAGAAGTAGAAATGCAGGCTTGACCAAACATATACAGTACTGAGAAAAAGACACCAAACCTAAACACAATAACTTAAGTTACTTTTATACAGTTATTAGCATAAAAAAAGACACATTTGGAATATGACAGGTGGTGACAACAAAGTGGACGGAGAAGTGAAGTGCTCAAGCATCATTGGGATTGGTAGCTCCTTTGACAGAAGCTATCAAAGAAAAACTTGAGTTAACTTTCTTGCAACAGAAAAAAACTGATTTTTTTTTTAAAGCCACAATTTAAAGGAAATTTAAATCAGAATTTGACACAACTGAACAGTTTCTCCAGATGTTAACATGAGGATAGACTTGACTCATCAGACTTGTGGCATCCTCTCTGTCTCCCCTGTTCTGGACGACTTTGACCGAGCATGCAGTCAGACACATTACACCCAGAACCCACTGGCACCATCTCAAGTCTGTCATTGGTCTGCCTTTGGCTCAGCCTGTGGTCTGTAGCCAAGAATAATAATGTTGACCCACTGTAGTGACTGAAGTTGTGCAGTTCATGTCTGTACAAACAATTTTAGCTCTAGTGTCCCTTTGATTCTTTGTTCCCATTTGAAATGGAAAGAAAATCCACCCTCAGTTACTCATCCACTGTGTTAGGAGTTGTATTAGTTATTTTGTCATGACCTGCTGTGATTTTTGTGTTTAGGTCTTCCCACTTCAACTCAACCTACCCTGTCTTCTTGCATTTAAGTTAGTGAGTTACACTGTGGCTCTTCCAGAATAACTGTTGACCACTCACATACAGTACTAGAAGGGTCAAGAAGAAATATGTATTGTTGTGGGTTGTTTGTGTAGGTGGAAAGAGCAAGAGTGCAGTAAAATAATTGTTGCAGTTGAAAACAAGTTACTGAAAGCACAGCTTGTCTTGTGGTTGCTTTGCATGCAGGCCTATTTGGGGTTACCTTGGGTGAAAAACAGATTGCTTACCGATTGTGTGATGATCTTGTCTGTTGACAAGTTGCTATCAATTGCTCTGTTGTTTGTCCGCAAGACAGCCCTGGGCCATGTTCACACAGGGCTCACTTTGTGTGGAGAAATCATAGCCCTTCACTTTGCTGCAACGTAACTGGACATCACCTGACAAGGCGCAGGTTCAGCCAGTCCCATACATGCACGTGTCCCTGGGGAATTACTTTGCCATGTGAATGGCGTATTTCTGCTGTTTCGCTGGGGGTTGTCCCAAAGATGAAACATTTGCCCCCGTCATAACTTCGTAGAGTTGTGCAATCCTGTCTGTGGATTACTAACCACTGTGTTGTGTTTTGGTGTCTAATAAGCTTTAAACAAACGTGTTCCTCAACTGGACTTCACAGATTGTATTTCAGTCTCACCGGTACCAGTGGTGGAAGAAGTACTCAGTCTTTACTCAAATAAAAGCAGCAATACCATAGTGTAAACATTCTCTGTTACATGTAGAAGTCCTGCCTGCGGAATTTACTTAGGTAAAGTATTAGCACCAAAATCAAAAACTACTCCTTATCCAGAATAGCACACTTCACATTGATGTGTATCGTCTTATTGGATTATAATTACTGACACATTGAGTACATCATGCTTAATGTTGCAGATGGTAAAGGTGGAGCTAATTTGAACTACAGTAGCTTATATGCTTATAATTTGAAGCTGGATGCTGGATAGCTTGTGAATTTCCCTCCAGGTATCAATAAATTCTTATTATACAAAATTTTGCTCTAAAAACTAAGTAATAACTATAGTTATCAAATAAATGTCTTGGAGTAAAAAGTACAATTTTTGCATCTAAACTGTAGTGAAATTGAAGCTTGAAGTAGCTGAAAATGAAAATACTAAAGGTAGATATGTCAGTTGTACTTAAGTACAGTACTTGAGTAATTGTACTTGCGTTCCACCTCTGACTGACGAACCAAGGCAGAACCTGTTTCTTCCACACAAGAGATTGTTAAAACGGTCTCTGTGTGAATATGGCCTTAATGTCTCCGAGCCTACGGCCAGTGTGACCGACATGTCTGGCAATTTCTTTTTCTTGTCTTTTCTTTATTTTCTTTTTTTTTACAGTATTCTTGGAAAATGAAATGATGGGATTTTCTTAGTCATGACAGTAACTAATCAGTTTAGAGACCTCATGACTGCTGGCTCCCCCTATTGATTTATTTCACTTTATTTTCCATGCATTAACATGTTGTGCTGCTTAAACATCTGGCATGCTAGTAAGAACCTCCATTCCTTCCAGAGGCCAGTCATACTGTAAGTTTCTCTTGTGAGATTTGTGTTTTATTGCCGCTGATATGTAGCGAGCCAAGTTTAGAAAGAATACACACTGTCGGCTGTAAAAATGTCTTCTTCAACTATGTATCTTTTTTACACAGACCAGGTGGCCTAATCCACAGTGCTTGAACATAAATCAGCTCTCACTATTCTAGTTGTTCCACATTCTGCTTCCTCTTGGTTCAGTACCACATGCTGAATGTTAAGCCACTGGAAAAAAAAAAAAAAACACCGACAGGTCCAATATCTGATTTGTCTAACCCGTGTTCCTAACTTTGTGTGTGAGCATTTTGTTGTGATGAGTGCTTTAGTGCTGGACTTATTGGTTGTCCGTTCAAGAAGTTCTTGCCATTAACTGCAGGGACCCTAACTGATAGTAGTCTGTCCTTGTCTGACCTGTGGTTCCTAGACCACGCAGGTCAGCCAGTTCAGACACAGCTGCAGCGTTGAACAGAATACCAGTTTCTCTGAACAGAACACATTTCTTGATGTGAAGCGATTGTCACGGTTCTTCGGTTTGACCTTGTGTCGCTCTGTCTTTGTCCAGACGGCAGAGCTGAATATGTTTTTCCACAGCACCTGCCCATTTTAATGATTTGTTCTGCTTGGTGAGTCATAAATTAAGGGCGAGTTCATTGTAGTGGTCCAGTTTTTTTTTAGCTAATCTCTGCCAGTATTAGAAAGAGCTAATATACTGGGTTCTCCTGGGCCCTGCTTGCCGACTGCATATGGTGCGATGAGCTTTGTCCGTAGACGTAGGGATAGGACAGAGATCATCCAAACCTTATGTACAGACAGGTGACAAAAGGAAGACCCAACATAAAGCTTCTCAGTACGGTATTGGGCCACTAGAACAGAACACGGAATGAGAGTGAAACGTAGTTAAGTAAAGAAAAAAGCTTGCCACTTTCCCTTGCACAGCTTTGACTTGTTACAGCTGTAAGAGGGAACCATGAGTTCATTCTATTTATTTATTTGTTTTTTGTTTGTGCCTATCCTCTATAGCAGCAGCACTGCTAGCCAATTATGGTCCACCAGGAAACAAAACACTATGATATTATTGAAAGTGAAATTCAACAATGTACGGGGTCAAGGAGTACATTCAGTGTCATATGCAAATTTGTGCATTAAGAATAGTTGAAGTCACCGCCTTCCACTAGCATGCTTGTGTAAGTGGAACTGGTGAAGGGAGGGGTCGGGGAGGCATGGTTTCCCGTTCTGTGGACGCACCTCTCAGGGCAGCTCAAAGTGATTCACTGAGAAATGTGTTTACTTGTGGAAGAACGACAAGTAACTAGAGGGTTTATATAAGGCAAACTGCTTCCCCTCCAGTCAGTCACACAACATAAACGGAGTCATGAGGGGAAATACTGGACTGTCATAATAAGGCACAACCATTACACGTGTTCCACATGGCCACATGGATCCCATTACTCACTGAGGAGCTTTTTTCCATCAGTCCAGCTTGCCTGGCTCCTCATCCACACTCTGGCAGTTTGTCCAACTCTAACTTGAATTGATCCTAAAACCATGTTATTAATCTGCCTCAGAGTGATTCTGTTTCAAACTGTGTAAGAGGAAGAGCTCGCTCTGCACCATCCAGGCTGATTCATGACCATGTTTGGCACCAGGCCAAAGTCTTTGTGTGGGTGATCCACAAACATATGGTACTAACCTGTGTGTGAGATATGTAATATGTGGCTTCTTGTCATTTCTTTTGCCCAGTGTGTGCTGTTTTTATCTTACCACATCTTCTTTTGTGTCCCCTCCAGGCATTTGGGAATGCAAAGACAGCCCACAATAACAACTCCAGTCGCTTTGGCAAGTTCATTCAGGTGAACTACCAGGAGAGTGGCACTGTGAGAGGGTAAGGAAGCAGAAGCCAATGCTTTTCATTTACTGAAAAAGTATGTTTTGAAGATAACTGTTTTTGTTGTACTTTTCAGAGCATATGTTGAGAAATACCTCCTGGAGAAATCAAGGCTGGTGTATCAGGAGCACAATGAGCGGTGAGCACTTCGCAAAAGAAGTAGATCCTTATTGAAACCTTAGAAATGCAAAATACACATACCTGGTTTTGTTAAGCCGGAGGTGGCATTTACCGGTTGCCTGACTTCTGGGCAATGAAATTAAAAGTGTTATTTAATGGCAAAGTTGGAGGTAATAAATTTAAAAAAGTTGACAAATTACAAAATGTTGGCCTCCAGATTTCTGACGCACAACTTTCTCAAAAACACCGTCATCTTAACAAGGTTTACTGCCGCTCTTCTGTGTGCATTGATCCAACATGAATTATGTTCTGCTTGTATTAAAAGAATTTTTGCAAATTCTTATTTCTGAAATGAGCATCAAAATGTTTTAATAAGCCATACTTCGATGGATTGGCGAACTGTCCAGGGCGTACCCCGCCTTCGCCCGATGGCTGGCCGGGATTGGCTCCGGCCCCCCCGTGACCCCGTTCAGGGACAAGCGGTAGAAAATGAATGAATGAATGAATAAATATGGGTGATTTCAACAAACCTTTTTGTGTCAACCTTGGCAATTCTAGTACAATTTTGTATGGTGACTAATATAACATTTGACTTTTCTTAAGGCATTATTATTTATTCAGAAAAATAAACTGTGCTGTCAGCAAGTATAAAACAAATGGAGGGAATTTTGGCAGAAAACGTACATCTGAATTCACTCAAATCAAAAAGGCTGTTGTGTGAGTTGTCATGTGAGTTGAGCTCCAAGTTGGGCTGACACTAATGTGTTGGACTGGCAGGTCAGAGTGGACCCCCCTGTGTTAGCACCGTCTTATTGAGATCGCTGAGTCCAGGTCATTAAAAGTTTGAATGAGTGTGTGGTATGTGCGTTCCAAGAAGACCTTGATCACACAGCCGCTGTGCACGTTTGACCTCCAAACTTTATACACTGCAGCTAGATACTGTCATAGAAAAAGGTCAAGCCTACAGTACATGCATATACACCTGTACATCCAAACAAATTGTGATACCTGAGCCATCTTTATTGTTTTGTTGTTGCAGCCACATTATCATTGTGGCTCTAAGTATTTCAGTACTGCTCCATCAGTCCAACACACTTGTCTAATGAGTCATTGTGCTGTATAACATGATATACAGTAGAATATCGTACAGTATAGTACAGCAATATACAGTAGTAATGAATGTAGTACATGGAGTTGAAATCGGAAGTTTACATACACTTAGGTTGAAGTCATTAAAACAGATTATTTTTTTGCCACTCCACAGATATCATGAACAAACTTGTTTTGGCGAATCCATTAGGACATGTACTTTATGCATGACATGTTTATAGGATTAAATGTCAGGAGTTGTGAGTTTAATTGTATTTGGCTAAGGTGTATGTAAACTTCTGACTTTAATAGTATGAGTAAGCTATACAGCAGTTTATACTAATATACGGTAAGCAGATAATGGTAAAGATAGCGGTCTAATAGTGGAATTAAGAATATTGGATTATTTGTCACTTAACGTGGCAGACATACTGACCCTCTCTACATCATGACTTTGGTGATCAGCTAACATTGTTTTTTGAGCCTGACACATGGATTAATGAGGATTTCTTTAAAATAGAGGACTGAATTCCCATTGTCATTTTCTACAGGGTGGGCCATGGAAAAGTAGTCCGCCTCCAATACCAGTGCCGCGGGCAATACGGGTACATGGGCTACTTTTCCGTGGCCCACCCTGTAGTTTGCACTCAGTTTCTAGTTGAAGTAATACTAACATTGCATGCTTACATGCTAATGCTACCTTGTTGACATTCTAACATGATGAACATATATATGCCTCTTACATGACTGTGTTAAACCTTTTTGTTTTTTTTAGCAACTACCATGTGTTTTACTACCTGCTGGCAGGAGCGAGTGAAGATGAGAGGACAGCCTTTCACCTCAAGAAGCCTGAAGAATACCATTACCTCAGTCAGGTGGGACCTTCAAAATCAGCTACAATAAGC